TGAGGAAATTATTAGTATTTCTTTGAGTATCTAAATTTTCTATAATGAAACATGTAGCTTTTTTAGTTATGAAAACTGTTACCTAATATTAGGTAACAATATTCAATATATTTTACAATTCTGAGAAAATGTCACCACAGTAAAGAACAAAAGAAAGTCAAGAATTATTTGTTCTATTCATAATGGCCAGGAAATAAAAACCACCTCATTGTCCATCAACCAGTGTGAATGGATAAAGAAAGTGGGTACACATACACAATGTAAGACTATTCAAACATAAAAAAGAATGAAAGCCTATCATTCATAATAGCATTGATGACATGGGAGATCAGAATGTTAAAATGAAAGAAGCCAGGCACAGAAAGACATATACCACGTGACCTCACTCATATGTGAAAGGTAAGGGTTGATTTCATAGTAGTTGAGAGTAGAATGGTGGTTAACAAGACATGGTAGAGAGCAGCCAGGATGTAAGGATGGGGGAAAGTTGATCAATGGGTACTAAGTTACAGTTAGGAGTAATAAGCTCTGGTATGCTACTGCACAGTAGGGTGGCTATAGATAACAATATCGAACTGTACAATTCAAAAAGCTGAAAGAAAGGATTTTGAAAGTTTTTACCATAAAGAAATGGCAAATGTTTAAGGAAATGTACAGGTTTAAATGTTATGCAAAGTATAAATATAACAAAACATTACACTGTCCCCCATTAATACATAAACTTTGTTTTATGTATCTATATTTAAAAATTTTTTATAATTTAAAAGAAAATACATATATAAATATAATGTATATGAGATTAAACTCTAAGAATGTATATTTTATTGTAATCAAATAAATTATAAGATTTTGAATATAGAAAAAATATATTTTTATAGAACATGCTATTTTCATGCTTATAAAACATTAAAATAGGAGTTAGTTTAATTATTGCTATTTCAAACAAAAATTCAAAGAATTACTTTCACTTCAAATATATCAATATTTTAGCTTTTAGATAAATAACATTCATGTGAGGAATATCATTACTACTAAGTGGGTGTTTAGTGTTGATGCCTTACTTGTTTGTAGTTGGTCTTTCTAAGAAGATGCTCTAAGGCTAGTTTTACCCGTTTAAATGTATCTAATTCTTTTGTTAATATTTCCTTCTGTTTAGAAATCTTCAAACTGGAGACAGAAAGATTAGCCTGATAAAATATAAGAACCAGACATAATATAAGTACCAGGTACACATTTTAAGATATGGCATTTAAGTAAAATACCCTAAAATATTAAGATTATTATCAAAGAACATTTTTCCTAGTAACAAGATCATTCTAATGCACATAATAATAGTAAAATTTGCCAAGTTTGTTAACAGTAGGTAGGATCTGTTACAAAGTACATTACGTTAAAATAAAAAGTAAAGGCTTAAACTCTAGAAGTATTTCAGTACTTATTCTAACAAAACTTATAGCATACACTCTATTTTTCTCCCTAACTCAAACTTCAGCATGTTGAAATTTTAAAATAGTTTTCTATTCCAAATAGCACTATAGAAATACAGATACATTTCATCTCTCTGAAGATTTTGGTTTCAAATTCAGTCTTTTTAGTTTTTTTTTTTTT